CCAGCGCAGGCCCAGAGGGACAGGGGGCAGGTGGGAGCCATGCCCCACCATCCTGACCCTGCACTCATGCACACACATGCACACACACATACACATACACACACTTTTACCCGCAAACATGCGCATGGTCCTCCACGCTCATGAAGATACTCACTGCACACTGACACACAGACACGCACAGACAACACGTAAACATTCACATGGACACACTCACGCATGCACAGATGAACTCACAGGCACACGCACGCACACTCATAGGTGCTCACCTGCACACACACACGTTCATACGTGTGCACACGCCCCACACATACACAACTCTCCTACATACACCGACACTCATGCACGCAGTGCAGACACATACATACACACGCATGCGCGCAAACACTTTCATATGCTCAAATACTCCTAGACGCACACGCACATACACGCATCAGACACACACACCCACATACCCTCTCTCTCTCACACCCCCTTTGGCCCTGAGGCGACCCTGTGGACAGAGTTTGTCCCTTTTCCAGGTGGACCCTCTGGCTCATGCCAGGTCGCAGGGAGCAGATGCCGGCCCGGAAGCCCCTGGGCCCCTCACAACGCGACAGGCCAGTGACAACGGGAGCCTCCCTCCGGGGGCCGTCCTGGGCGCCGGCACGGGCAGCAGGCAGAGATCGAGTGTCTGCCAACCCCGCCAGTGTCGCCAGGTCACTAAAAATAGTTGCTACGCCAAACCAGGGCGTGACTCCGAAGCAGCCGGCCACATGCGGGCCTCCCCCCTGCACCCCGGAACCCTCCCCACAGGCCCCCGCCTGGAACCACCCAGCACAGAAGGATCTGGAAGGGGGAGGGAGAGGCTGCAGATGCCTCCCACAGCCACACATACAGACACACACACACACACACACACAGAGACACAGAGACAGAGACAGACACACACAGAGACACAGAGACAGAGACAGAGACAGAGACAGACATACACAGAGACACAGACACACACACAGAGACACACACAGAGACACAGAGACAGAGACAGACACGCACACAGAGACACACACAGACACACACAGAGATACAGAGACAGAGACAGACACACACACAGAGACACAGACAGAGACAGACACACACAGAGACACAGACAGAGACAGACACACACAGAGACACAGACAGAGACTGACACACACAGAGACACACACAGAGACACAGATAGAGACAGACACACACAGACACACACACAGAGACACAGAGACAGAGACAGACATGCACACAGAGACACACACAGACACACACAGAGATACAGGGACAGAGACAGACACACACAGAGAGAGACAGACAGAGACAGACACACACAGAGACACAGACAGAGACCGACACACACAGACACACACAGAGATACAGAGACAGAGACAGACACACACACAGAGACACAGAGACAGAGACAGAGACAGAGACACACAGACACACACAGACACTCAGACACATATACACACAGAGACAGACAGAGACAGACACACACAGAGACACACAGAGACACACACAGAGACACAGACACACACACACAGAGACACACACGGAGACACAGAGACAGACATGCACACAGAGACACACACAGACACACACAGAAATACAGACAGAGACAGACACACACAGAGACACAGAGACAGAGACAGAGACAGACACACACAGACACACACAGACACACACAGACACTCAGACACATATACACACAGAGACAGAGACAGACACACACAGAGACACACAGAGACACACACAGAGACACAGACACACACACAGAGACACAGAGACAGAGACAGACATGCACACAGAGACACACACAGACACACACAGAGATACAGGGACAGAGACAGACACACACAGAGACACAGACAGAGACAGACACACACAGAGACACACAGAGACACAGAGATAGAGACAGACACACACACAGAGACACAGAGACAGAGACAGAGACAGAGACACACAGACACACACAGAGACACAGAGACAGACATACACAGACACACACAGACACACACAGAGACAGAGACAGACACACACAGAGACACAGAGACAGAGACAGGTACACACACAGAGACACAGAGACAGAGACACACAGACACACAGAGACAAAGACAGAGACACAGACAGAAGACACACACACATAGAGACACACAGACACACACACACAGACAGACAGACACACACACACACCCAGGCCAGCAGCCCAGACTCCACAGGTGCAAAGCGGGCCCCTGGGTGATGGGGTCCTGGGAAACAGGCCACCCCCACACCCTCGCTTCTGAGACAGCAGCAAGAGAATCTCTGTGTGAGCCCCGTCCCCACCCGCCGGGACCCCGGGTCCATCCCAGACACCCTTTAGGGTCCCCGAGTCCTGCCGGAGTCATTCCTGGGTGCAGAGCCAGGAGTCGGCTCTGAGAGCCGTGGACGTGGCCCAGAAACAAAATATCCCGGCAAAACACAGTGAACGCTCCCGGGATGGGCCGCCCTTTAAGGGGCCTCTGGGGGACACAGAACTCAGGGTCCGGACACTGACGGTCTCCGAACGTCACCAGGAGAAGCTCCGAGCCCCCCAGCACTGCTTGGGAGGGCCCCCCAAAAGGAAACACCCTCCAAGAATAAAATTCTGCTTCCCCCTGGGAAGTCCTGGGACAGGGCCACTGAGGAACGGGATTCGTCCCCTTGCATATTAACCCCACGTGCTTTTGGCTTCTTCAGTGAATGGTCCCTTGTCCTCCCCTCAGAGAAACTTACAGTGCTCCTGCGAGCACCCCTAATCCCCTGAGTTTATCCTTAACCTTCCCTTTGTGCTAGTTACGAAGTCAGAATCTTCTGGTGACTCTGGGCTTTGCATTTGCAGTGAATTACTTGCTTTTTGGGCTGGAGCGATAGCACAGCGGGACGGCCTTTGCCTTGCACGCAGCCAGCCCGGCCGAGCCGGGTTCGATTCCTCCGCCCATCTTGGAGAGCCCGGCAAGCTACCGAGAGGATCTCGCCCGCACGGCAGAGCCTGGCAAGCTCCCCGTGACGCATTCGAGATGCCAAACACAGTCACAAGTCTCAAAATGGAGACGTTACTGGGCCCACTCAAGCAAATCAATGAACAACAGCAAAGTTCTTCTTCACTTAAACACAGAAAGACGGTTAAGGTTGTGTTCCTAATACATCCGTCATAATTACTAGACTCAGGCTTTGATTGTCGTAGTTTCTAAAGGTAAAGGTAAAGGTCCTCCCGTTGATCGTCGATTTGCTCGAGCGGGCCCAGTAACGTCTCCATTGGAGACTTTGTTGTTACTGTGTCTGGCATATCCAATACTCTCAGTAGCTTGCCGGTCGTAGTTCATAACACTCCAAAAATGGGGTCCAGACGTGGGGTTGGGATGGACCAGGGCAAGTGACAGCAAGTGACAAAGCTACCCCGGCATCAAAATGGGACAGTCTGGAAAGCCTAGATGCACAGTCTTGATGCAAGCTGTTATGACTTAAGAGTCAGGACCCCCGGGGGGAAGGACAAGCTGGATCAGGCTGAGGAATCTAGTCTGGGATTTACGGTAAAGGCCTAGCTTGCCCTCAGAGCCCAGAGAACTAAGTTTTGGAACTTACGTCTCTCTTACTGTGTCTATCCAAAATAACTGCAAGTATTGTCACTGTCACTGTCCTCCCGTTGTTCATCGATTTGCTCGAGCGGGCCCAGTAACGTCTCCGTCGTGAGACTTCGTTGTGACTGTGTCTGGCATCTCGAATACGTCACGGGGAGCTTGCCAGGCTCTGCCGTGCGGGCGAGATACTCTCGGTAGCTTGCCGGGCTGGAGACGTTACTGGGTCCGCTCGAACAAATCGACGAACAACGGGAGGGCCAATTGTTTAATATGTACAACTGAAGGGAAAGAGAAAAACAATATAGATGTCCCTGGAAGACGGAGCGTCTCCTTGAGTTAATCCCGAGAGAACTGCCTCTGCTCACACGCTTTTCTGTGAATGATCAGCCTCACCTAAGGGTGGGCCCATCCCTCGAACCCCGCCAGGTGTGCTCTAAGGATGCTGGCAGCACTCAATGGGGCTCTGTGACCCTCAGTCGCTGTTCCCTCGGGGAGGCGGCTCTCGGCCACCAAACGCGTCACACACCCACCCGTGAACTCACAGCCCCCTTAGGCTCGAAGCAGCCGGGAATTTCTGCCCCCTTAATTCTAAGGAAAGGGGCCGCCCCGTCTGTGAAACCCGGACACCCGGATCTTTATTCTACGGTGGACATGCCCACGTCACCCTCCTCATTCCGGGTGGCCCCAGAGGGGTGCAGAGCAGGTCACTTTAATGTGGCAGGTCCCTGGAGAAGGTCACAATAACGGTGTCCTGACCCCCAGATGCGGGGAGGGGAGAGGGATGTTTCCCTAGAGGGGGAGAACCCAGCACACACACACACACACACACACACACACACACACGCACGCACGCACACACGCACTCACATGTCTGCGTTGTGGGTGCTTTCACAGTGACTCTCTGCGGAGTGTGGGGGTCCCCACCTGCACCCATGGTCCACACCCGCCTCTCCCAAAGCACCCTAGACCCAGTCTGGGCAGGGTGACCGGAAGTGCTGGACTCAGGAGCCGTGGGAATCGGCTGCTGTGACCCTCCGTTGCCCCGTGGGTTCCTCTAACTATGCAGTGGGAAGAGGGGGGTCCGCTCGCACCCCCTGCCCCCACCCTGAGGACCCACGCAGCCCGGCCACCAATAGCCGCTCACCCCCCCAGAGCCGGCCAGGGTGGGGCCACTCCGAGACGGCTCCGTTGCTGATGTCACAAAGGTGTCGGCTGGCGACGTCCCGTCATGTGCCCTGGTTCCCCCTCACTCCATTCTGCAGGGACCAGGGAGGACGGCGGGCAGCGGGGGCCAGCATCGTCCCTCCCGCCGGGCACTCAGGAGCCGGCCCAACGCCTCCTCGCGTTTCAGCGTCCAGCCGGAGTGGACTGGCCGAGGCTGAGTGGCCGCCAGCCATGGTCCCCGGGCACCCGTGGCTGCTCCTGGCCTGGGCAGCGCTGGGGCTGGCATCCGGGCAGGACTGCCCGTCGCCCTGCGAGTGTCAGGCCCAGGAGGTGACCTGCTCGGACCGGAACCTGAGCCGGTACCCGGAGGGCATCCCGCTGGGCACCCGGCGGCTTCGGCTGGCCGGCAACCAGCTGACCTACCTGCCGGCACTGAGTCTGGGTCTGCTCAGTGACCTGGTGGACCTGGACTGCTCGCACAACCAGCTCCTCGAGGTGCTGGACTACACCTTCCTGGGCGTCTACCGGCTGCTGTCCCTGGACCTGAGTGTCAACCGGCTGCGTCACATCTCGCCGCACGGCTTCTCCACGCTTGGTGCCCTTCTCAGCCTCAACCTCTCGCACAACCCGGGCCTGGGTGGCCTGCACGAGCTCACGTTCGCCAACACCACGGCCTTGCGCTACCTGGACCTGCGGCACACGGGGCTGGCCACGCTGGACGACACCGTGCTGGGCCACCTGCAAGGGCTTGACACCCTCTACCTCAGCGGCAACCCCTGGCACTGCAACTGCTCCCTCATGGACTTCACCCTCTACCTGCTCGTCGCGCACCTGCAGCACCCAGGTGAGGGACCCCCCACCGGACAGCCGCGCCCCGCCCACCCCTCGCCCCCCGCCCCTGGGCAGAGACGCGCCTCCGCGGAGCCTCTCGCCGGGTCGACCCCCAAAAGGGACTCGAGGGGCCGGAGCGAGGGCACAGCGGGGCGGGGGTGTTGACCTGGCGTGTGGCAGACCTGGGTTCGATGCCCGGCATCCCGTAGGGTCCCCTGAGCACGGCCAGGAGTGATCCCTGAGCATCACTGGGGGTGGAGAGAGAGAGAGAGAGAGAGATGGGTCAGAGTGATAGCACACAGCGGGAAGGGTGTTTGCCTGGCACATGGCCAACCCGGGTTCGACCCCCGGCATCCCATAGGGTCCCCCGAGCACAGCCAGGAGTGATTCCTGAGCGCAGAGCCAGAAGGAACTCTGAGCATCGCCGGGTGTGACAGAGAGAGAGACACAGACAGACAGACAGTCATGGGCAGGAGAGATAGTACAGTGCGGAGGGCGTTTGCCTTGCACACAGTGGGCACGGGTTCGAGCCCCGGCATCCCATAGGGTCCCCCGAGCACCGCCAGGAGTGATTCCTGAGTGCATGAGCCAGGGGTCAGCCCTATGCATTGCCGGGTGTGACCCAAAAAGGAAAAAAAAAAGGACGTGGACGTGACAAGCTTCCACTGCGGCCCGCCGAGCAGCGTCCTGGAGAAGAGGCTGGAGGGGCAGCGGCAAGGGTGGTGGACCCCCGACCCTCGGGGCTGCCCGCTCCTCTCTCCAGCCCTCCCCGCCCCGCAGACCCCCACACAGGTCATCTCCGTCCCTGTTGTTCCTTTTGGGGGCCGCACCCGGCGGTGCTCAGGGCTGGCCGTGCTCCCCGGCTGTGCTCCCCAAACGTTCCCGACCTCACTTTGCTTCGGAGGAGAGAACAGGCCCGATGAGGGCGCGGGGGGCTTGGGGTGCACTGCATGCTGGGACCCCGTCTCTGCCCTCCCAGGGGGCTGGCCCGGCGGGGGGGGGGGGGTCCTGGCAGGGCAGGTCAGGAACCAAGCCAGGGACAGGGGAAGGGAAGGGGGAGCAGGACAGTGAGGGAGCGTCAGTCGCTGGGCCAGGTCAGAGTGTGTGTGTGTGTGTGTGTGTGTGTGTGTGTGTGTGTGGTGGCTTTCTGTACGTGTGTGTCTGTGAGTGTGTGTTGTGTGGTGGCTTTCTGTGTATATCTGTGAGTGTGTGTTTGTGTGCTGTGTGGTGACTTTCTGTATGTCTGTGTGTATCTGTATGTCTGTGTGAGTGTGTGTGTATGTGGTGGTCTTATGTGTACGTCTGTGTGTGTGGTGGCTTTATGTGTATGTCTGTGAGTGTGTGTGTGTGGTAGCTTTCTGTATGTCTGTGTATATGTGCATATCTGTGTGAGTGTGTGTGTGTTGTGTGGTGGCTTTCTGTATGCCTGTGTGTATGTGCATGTCTGTGTGAGTGTGTGTGTGTGGTGGCATTATGTGTATGTCTGTGTAGTTTAATATGTGTGTGGTGATTTTCTACATGTGTATATCTGTGTGTGTTTGTGTGTTGTGTGGTGGCTTTCTGTATGTGTATGTCTGTGTGAGTGTGTGAGTGTATGTGTGTGTGGTGACTTTCTGTATGTCTGTGTGTGTCTGTGTGAGTGTGTGTGGTGGCTTTCTGTGTATATCTGTGTGTGTTTGTGTGTTGTGTGGTGGCTTTCTGCATGTGTATGGCTGTGTGTGTGGTGGTGCTGTGGATGAGGGTGTATGACTATGAGTATGTGAGTGTATATCACTGTGTGTGAGTGTGTGTGTGTGATATGACTGTATGCCAGTGTGTATGTGAATGCGTGTGTGTGTGTGTGCGCGTGCACTGAACCCTTGCCCCATGCATCCTGTCATTTTTCACACTTGGAAGCAAGTAAGATTCTGAGCGCCAGCAAGTCACAGAATCGGGATCTGAACTGGGTCCAACTGGCCCCAAGACCCACCACGCTCGCTCCCCAGGGCCGGGTCCCGAGAAGTGGGTCGGGGTCACTGCCGAAAGTCACGCTGCAGCTGGAGCGATAGCACAACGGGGAGGGCATTGGCCTGGCACGTGGCTGACCCGGGTTCGATTCCCAGCATCCCACAGGGTCCCCCGAGCACCGCCAGGGGTAATTCCTGAGTGCAGAGCCAGGAATCAGCCCTGAGCATCGCCGGGTGGGACCCAAAAAGAAAAAAAAAAAAGATTAAAGCTACTACTGACAGTGGGTAGGGAGACTGGACCTACAGCACAGGGGTCAGGGCCCTTTCCCTGCACCCGGCAGACCCGGGTTCGATCCCCGGCATCCCTTAGGGTCCCCCGAGCACCGCCAGGAGTGATCCCTGAGTGCAGAGCCGGGAGTCAGCCCTGAGCATCGCGGGAGGTGGGACCCAAAAATGCAAACCAAACCAAAAGTCGCACTGCCTTGCAACATTGTTTCTGGTCCTGGCCTCCGGGGGTGCCTTTCCTGTCCCCAGTGCCCTCCCCCCAGCAGAGCCAGGTGACGTCCTGGGGGGAGGGGAGCAGCGGAGAGGACAGAGGGCAGAGGTTGGGGGCCAAAGGGCACTGCACACTCTGAACCCCCGTTTTATTGGGGGTCCATGCTGGGGATGTCAGGGGTCCCCCCTCCTCGTCTCCCCCGCTCAGGGGTCCCTCTCAGCAAGACCCGTCTCGGGTGAGCCAGGGCGGGGCCAGGCAGCAGCGCACACACCAGCACATCCGCGCTCTCAGCGGCCCCTGTGTCCCCCCAGATGCGGAGAACGCCACGTGCCTGGAGCCGCCCGAGCTGGCGGGGTGGCCGCTGTCCCAGGTGGGGAACCCCCTGCGCTACATGTGCCTGACGCACCTGGACAGCCGCGACTACGTCTTCCTGCTGCTCATCGGCTTCTCCATCTTCCTGGCGGGCACTGTGGCCGCCTGGCTGACGGGCGTGTGCGCGGTGCTCTACCAGGGCATGCAGCGGCGCACCGAGGATGCCGACGACGAGGACGAGCTGGGGCTGCGGCTGGAGGTCAGCCGGCGCATGCTCAAGGTCCGGCCCGAGCAGCACATGTTCTCTGTGTGACGCCCGCGGGTCGGGCGGAACCAGGCACTGTGTTCTGCATGGGCCGGGCGGAACCAAAGCCTTTGCCCCGTGTGGATCAAGTGGAACCAGACTCTGTGTTCTGTATGATGGGCCAGATGGAACCACAGCCTTTGCCCCGTGTGGATCAAGCGGAACCAGACCCTGTGTTCTGCATGGGCCGGGCAGAACCATAGCCTTTGCCCCATTTGGGCTGGGCAGAACCAGGCCCTGTGTTCTGCATGGGCCGGGCGGAACCACAGTCTTTACCCCGTGTGGATCAAGTGGAACCAGACTCTGTGTTCTGTATGATGGGCCAGATGGAACCACAGCCTTTACCCCATGTGGGCTGGGTGGAACCAGACCCTGTGTTCTGCATGGGCCGGGCAGAACCATAGCCTTTGCCCCATTTGGGCTGGGCAGAACCAGGCCCTGTGTTCTGCATGGGCCGGGCGGAACCACAGTCTTTACCCCGTGTGGATCAAGTGGAACCAGACTCTGTGTTCTGTATGATGGGCCAGATGGAATCACAGCCTTTGCCCCATGTGGATCAAGCGGAACCAGAACCTGTGTTCTGTACGATGGGCCAGATGGAACCACAGCCTTTGCCCCATGTGGATCAAGCGGAACCAGAACCTGTGTTCTGTATGGGCCGGGCGGAACCACAGCCTTTGCTCCGTGTGGATCAAGTGGAACCAGACCCTGTGTTCTGCATGGGCCGGGCAGAACCATAGCCTTTGCCCCATTTGGGCTGGGCAGAACCAGACCCTGTGTTCTGTATGGGCCAGACGGAACCACAGCCTTTACCCCATGTGGGCTGGGCAGAACCAGGCCCTGTGTTCTGTATGATGGGCCAGACGGAACCACAGCCTTTGCCCCGTGTGGATCAAGTGGAACCAGACCCTGTGTTCTGCATGGGCCGGGCAGAACCACAGTCTTTACCCCGTGTGGATCAAGCGGAACCAGACCCTGTGTTCTGCATGGGCCGGGCGGAACCACAGCCTTTGCCCCGTGTGGATCAAGCGGAACCAGAACCTGTGTTCTGCATGGGCCGGGCGGAACCACAGTCTTTGCCCTGTGCGGGCCGGGCGGAACCAGGCCCTGTGTTCTGTATGGGCCGGGTGGAACCACAGTCTTTACCCCATGTGGATCAAGCGGAACCAGACCCTGTGTTCTGTATGGGCCAGACAGAACCAGAGTCTTCACCCCGTGCAGGCCAGGCAGAATCATAGCCTTCACCCTGTGTGGGCCGGGCGGAACCAGACCCTGTGTTCTCTATGGGCCAGACGGAACCACAGCCTTTACTCCAAGTGGGTCAAGCGGAACCAGAGTCTGTGTTCTGTACGGAACCGCAGCCTTCACCCCGTGTGGGCCGGGCGGAACCAGCCTGTGTGAGGACTGTGATGGGCCTGGCGCCCCCCCCCCCCCCCACCACCCCAGCCACTGCCTTACCGCAGAAGGTCTTTCAGAAGAGAAATAAAATGTTTGCTGGCCACTTCCAGGGGGCAGTCTCCCTCTGACCTCAGGCACCCGCTGATGAGAACAGCAAGCCCCACACTTCCCAGGGGACCCAGAAATTTCCATGGGACCCGGAAACTCCCACAGGGACCCAGAACTTCCCACCAGACCCAGAAGTTTCCAGGGGACCCAACACTTCCCACCGGGATCCAGAATTTCTCATGGAACCCAGGAATTCCCACAGGGACCCAGAACTTCCCACAGAACCTGGAAATTCTGCCAGGGATGCAGAGAGGCAGGCGGGTTAAAGGTCGAAGCTTCTGGGGTCAGGGCTATATACTGCACAGCGGGGAGGGCGTTGGCCTTGCACGCGGCCGACCCGGGTTCGATCCCCGGCATCCCCTAGGGTCCCTTGAGCCCCTCCAGGCGTGATTCCTGAATGCAGAGCCGGGAGGAACTCCTGTGCATCGCTGGGTGTGACCCAAAAAGCCCCCTGAAAAATAAGTTAAGTAAGTAAGCACCGTCCTCCCGTTGTTCATCGATTTCTCAAGCGGGCCCAGTAACGTCTCCATCGTGAGACTTGTTGTGACTGTGTCTGGCATATCGAAGACGTCACGGGTAGCTGGCCAGGCTTTGTCATGCGGGGGTCGTGATACTCTCGGTAGCTTGCCGGGTTCTCCGTGAGGGAAGGAGGAATCGAACCAGGCTGGCCTCACACAAGGCAAACGCCCTACTGCTATGCTATTGCTCCAGCCTCAAAAAAAAAAAAAGTCAAAACACCTTCCTGGTGTGACCGATGGCTGACGGTCAGGGATTAGTAAGGGGCTGCCAGCTGCTTTCTTAACCAGGTCAGTGATTCAGACCAGAGATTAGCCGGGCTCAGATTCTCCCTGCGCCCCGAGGTGCTGCGGGGGTCCCCACCCGGCTTGCCGTGCGTTCTCCAAAGCCCAGGCAGCGGCTCTGAATGTCTCAGGCCTGGGGTCTGGTGGGGGTCAACACAGGCTGGCAGATCTCCACCTCCTGCCCCTGCCTTTCCCAGGCCCACTCCTGCTGGATGTGCCCCCACCAAACTCCTTTAGGGGGCTGGAGCGACAGCATAGCGGGGAGGGTGTTTGCCTTGCACACAGCTGACCCGGGTTCGATTCCCAGCATCCCACAGGGTCCCCCGAGCACCGCCAGGAGTGATTCCTGAGTGCAGAGCCAGGAGCAACCCCTGAGCATTGCCGGGTGTGAACCAAAAAGAAAAAGAAGGAAAAAAAAAAACTCCTTCAGGCTGGTGATGCGCTCAGCCCCTGGCAGCGGAGACCATGCTTCATCCTGGGTGCCACAGCTGGGGCACGAACGGGTGCCTGGGGGTGTCGCTATGAGAATGTCCCCCTGTGCTATGTGACAGAAATCAGACAGACACTGGAGCAGGGCTCTTTCATGGTGACGTGGCAGGAGAAGAGAAGGGGGGACCTGGCAGTGCTCCCTGGTTCCAGGGCGCAGGCCATCCCAAGAACAGGCCTCCGATCGGCCAGACGTGCCCACCCCCATCCAGCCCCCGCCCTGAGCCCCCGCAGCAGCTGGGCCGGGCCTTTGGCGGGACCCAGGCGCTTGGCCGTGAGCTCACCTTGCAGAAATCCTATAAGCGTCATAAATACTTTAGGTCCTCGGGGAAGCCGACAGCCACTGACGCGGCCCCAGCGGCCCAGCAAGGAAAACCTACCCTTGGGCAGGGCCAGAGCTGCCCCACGGCACGGCCGGAAGCGGGTTCTTGCACCCAAATGACAGCCGAGGCCCCGAGATCCCAGGGCAGGCAGGGGGCCGGGCCCGAAGCCCACTCCCCAGCCAGAGGGGCTGGGAAGAGCATGGCAGTGCCCCTCTGAGTCCCGGCACGGCACCCCCAGGGGGCTCGTCTGGGGCGAAGGATCCCCCAACTCTGGAAGCAAATGAAAATCCCCACAGGGAACTTCCCAACTCACACACACACGCACATACACACAGACACACGCACACACATACACGCACACGTGCACGCACACACATACATGCATACACACACGCACACACAAACAGACACAAACACACACACACACACACACACACACACACACACCCGCCCAAGGGTGATGCCCAAGGGTCCAGGTCAGCTGGAGGCGGCTGTGGGCAACAGACCGGCCGCACCCCCTTCCTCTCTGTCAGTCCCAAACTCCTTCCCTCAAATTCCTCCAGCCCCGGGCCTAATCCCTGCAAGAGGAGCTGCCGGGACGGGGGGCCACAGGGGGAGAGGGAAGGGGGCTCCCCTCGGGACTGCAGGAATTCTCTCCGCAGGATTCCACGGAGGGGCCCGGGAGTAACCCGATATTCCAGAGTCAGGGTGAGAACCACAGCCACAGAAGGGGGGGGTCAAAGGGACTGGCTGTATGTGCCAGAAATAGCCCCGGGGTGGGGGGAGGCGGGGGCTAATTCGGGGTGGGGGGGACAGATGGGAACCCCCCTGAGAGGGCTGGGGGCGTCACTCCACAGGGGAGCACTGCCCGTATGGCGGAGGCCCCTGGGAGCAATCCCAGGCACTGCCAAGCAGTGGGGATGGGGAGGGTGAGAAGGGGAGCACGGACAGGGAGTGAGCTCAGGGGCGTACGGGGCCACCCCCAGCTCCGTCCCTGGCACCGCAGGGTCCCCCCCCCCCCCCCCGAGCATCGCCGGGTGCAGCCCTTGGAGGGCCCCAGCACCGCAGGGCTCGGACCCCTGGGAGACTCTGCCCATTTCTCCTGAGGCATCTCCCCTCCCTTCGGCCGCCTGCACCCCCCAGCTCCCCCCGAGATGCCCCTCCCCCCTGCCCGCCTGCCCCCCAAAGGCCCCTCACGCCCAGCCCCCGGCTTGCTCTGGTGCCTCTCTCCTTCCTCTCCACTCTTCGTGGCCCTGGAGAAGGCGACAGGACCCCGGTTGGATGTGCGGCCCCCATGTAAGCCCCCCACAACCTCCCCCAAGCAGCAAGGGGAGAGACCAGAAGGTTAACTAGCAACGGCCGCAGGCAGGCTGGAGCCCAGGCCTTGAACCCTTGAACCCGGGCAGCGCTAAGAGGCTGCTCTCTCCCTGACCTCCACAAAGCTCAGCTTCTTCCGGGAGGGCTCAGCTGCAGCCTGGGACCCCCACCCGCCCTCCCACTCCCGCCACTGAAACTTGGACCCCAGCCCCCAATACTGAGGCTGGCAGAGCAGTCCCCAGGGAGTCCAGTCTGACGGCGGAGGCAGCAGCATTTTGGGGGTGGTTAAAAGTTCTCTCCCGAAACCACCCAAGGCTGGGAAGGAAGGGGTGGGGGGTCGGGGGCGTTGGTCGGGGCGATGGCGCCACCTATGGGTGAAATTTGGAAGTGCAGCGGGTCCGACCCGCCCCGCTCTCACCCCCCAGGTCAAGGGCAAGTGCAGGGGGTATAGCTCAGTGGCTGTCCCTTTGACGCCGCCTTGACCACCGGGACCCCCTGGACAGGAGGCTTGGGGGGCTCCCTGGAGGAGGTGTGCAGCCAGCAGAGAGAACTTCCTGCCCCTGGAGGTCACGGGCAG